AGACGGAGGGCGAGGAGGGGAGGGGTTGAGGGGGAATGGGTTGATGGGGAATGGGCAAAAGGCATTGTTAGAGTTGCTTTAGTGTGTGGTGTCAGTGTCAGGGTGCAAGTAAGGGTACGCAAACGGAGTAGAGGCAAGCAGAGGTCAAAACGAGGGTCCTATTTCTTTGGTAAACTATTCAAATCTCAGGCAGATGGAGAAACGAGAAATCCCAGGATAAAGCTACCTAGTAGGGTATCGAGTATCGACAACCAATGGAAGATAAAACCCTGGTCAAGGGGCAAAAGCTTGATTGCGTGCCGGGGGGGGAGGGGCTCATCCAGAGAGCTTGAGCTTTCGGGGGTTGGTACCTAATTACGCAATGATCTTCTTTTGCCTCAAGGCTCAAGGTGCTTACCTACCCAGGTAGTCTTTGTTGCGAATGCGGCAACTCCTTCGAAGGCCGCTCCGACTCCCCCGAGCGCCCAAGGGAGCATGTACGGGTATTTTGGTTGGGGGCTTTTTTGGATCTGTCTTCGTAAGCCTCACTTTTCTACTCGTAGGCTCCTTGGCGGGTGATCGGATCGCCGATTTTGTAGGCCTGGCGAGTATAGCCGCTGATCTGAGGTATTCTTGTTGTTGTGGTTGGCCCAACAGTGGCCATCCACGCCAATCCCCCGACAGCCAGCTGCAGGTTTACAATAAGCCACGCCTGAGGATGCCTATCCTTCCTTGGCGGCGGTGCGTAAATGCCGCGGGTCGAGTTTGTCTGGTCTTGTTCGGGCCGAGGACATGTATCAGGTGATGAATTCAGGTCCGTATGACATCAAATCGTCAATTTAATCAACAACGAACGAGGTTGTGAAATTACATACGAACTGCTAAGTTCTCTCGCTCTTCTACACATTACAACGTAATTACCTGTGATTAGCAGCAAACAGAGCTGCGCGCTTGCTGTTTTGACGCGGGCGTCGCCACTCTCAGCCCCAGACTGTCATTGTTGCGGTCCCAGACTCCCCGGACTGGTGGACTACCAGACTACCACTGGGGAGGTATCATGTATGTCTAATGTCAAGTCACGAGAGTACGACGTTATCTTATGTCACAGATGGGTAGGTAATCTGTGACATATTAATGGAAGTTCTGGAACCGCCAAAGGCGCTAGTTGCGCAACCACTTAGAAAAAGCACAACAACCGGCTTTTCGACACCTATCTGGTAATCAATCCAAGGCTTTATCGTGATCGACGGTTCGCGAATCGTGATTACCTCTCTTCACGGGCCGCATACATGTACATGTACATGTATGCGACGCTGCATGTATGCGACGCTGCATGCTTGCGCCAAGTTGCCGATCCATAGGTAGGTACATACATGTACGTAGCCCGGTGCGCCCTTGATCCTCTAGTATAGTTGGATGACTTGAATGACTGACTTGGATGTCTATCATGTCGCTCGGTTGATTCACGAAATCGTATACAGTCAAGGGGGATCGGGGTTTCGCTCTCCGCATTCCCGGCGATTTGAGGGCTTTCTCTTCCCGGGATAGCCGCCGACCGCCGTAAAACAGCGGTCAGGCCAGGCGGTTCACATCGCGCGAACACGTACGTGGCGGGGGGGAGAGGGGGTGGCCGTCGATCGTCCAGCCGTGATCTGACTTTGTCGGCTGGCTGGTTACATGTACGCTCTGCGGTCTAGTGGTCTGCCGCTACCCGGCCCGGAACCCAGCACGCCTAAAGGGAGGACAGAGGGCGAAAAGAAACAACCTAGCCGCCAGTACCGCCAGTGCTGCCGTAAATTGAGCAATCCACAGTTCATCATGGCCGTATGGGACCTGACAAGGGCACTCTGGAGATAGGAAAAGGACGGTCAAGGACCTTGTTCAACCCAACCCGTCGACCTGTTTACAGGACACATCACACATCGAACCTGAACTCAGCAACAACATTTTCCTCCATCTCCGGATAAAATGTCTACCGCCTCCGGAACCTTCACCTTAGACGGCGGTAACAACTTCGTAGCCGTGTTTGACATTGCCGGGAAACAGAAATTATTCAGTGGAACTTTCTCTCCACCCATGCCAGGTTTTGCCTCGGCCGTTGTAACGCTTACCTACAGCGGTCCCAACGCGTTGGAAGGCCCGCATTCCTACTCTGGCCAGATTGAGTCCGATAAGGTCGAGTTTGACTTTCGACGATGGCGCCCATAAAATCTCGGGTAATCTCAGCAGCCCCGTTCCCGAGACGACCATGGTTCGTGGCACTGGACAATGGAACAGCTATTAAGGTACGTAGTTCATCCCCACCAGTATTTGATACTCAGCCTCTAAATATTCGATGCAAGCGTCTCGAGATAATAAATGCTGCTGCTATGTTGGTTAGAGGGTGAGGGCGGATGCGGGGGACCATAAATGATGGACATTGATAACAACCTATGTTACTTACATGTGCCTTGACTACCTACATGTACACACCTAGATAGATGCCGTTGATCCTGCTCGGGATGTCCCTCAATAACTCTCATACTACACACTGTTTCCAAGATGTTATATGTATAGACCGTTAACCCCCATTGTAACCACAACCATCTCTTTCATGTAGGTACCTATTTGCACCTTGCCAGAAGTGAGAACCTCGCAGTTTTTATGGCACTGTGGTTTCCTTCGTTGTCTCCTTGAACTTTCCACGAAGCAGCTTACTTGTTGAGACCACAGTGGCAGCCAGGGCCGAGATGGACGAAGGACTGATCTCTCCGGCGCTAATCTCAGACTGTAATTCCTTGGCCAGCCAGGTCTTGATTTCGACGGCAACGAGCGAGTTGACTGTTTAGGTTGATTCCGTTGTTAGCAGGGAAGCACGATGAGACGGGCTCGAGTCTCTAACTCACCTCCGTAGCTCTGGAGCGACTCCTCGACAGCAATCTCATCCTCGGGGATCATGACTGCAACAGCAATGCGCCTGACCAAGATCTCCTCCACGACGGCCACAGCGGCGGCGGCAGTATCTGCCCTGGCTAGGGCGTCAATCCCGGCCTGCATCCCGGCCGTCTTCTTGATGAGAGAGGCTTTCAAGGCCATGCAGAGTTTGCCGTCGCGGGCCCAGGGGCTGCGGTCAATGAGCTGCTCGTCAATGGTCGCGCCGGCCAGGCCAGCGACGATTTGTGGCCCGGTTTCCTCCTTTCCGATGGTGTAGCCGGTAATGGCATTCTTGACGAGGAAGTGGATGTCGGCCTCGCCGACAGACAGGGCATTCAGATGGCTCAGGCTCCATAAACCTTGGTGGCTGGCCTCGGCAAGGTAGCCGACGTCTCGGACGGCGCCAATGTCTAAGGCCATGGCCTTCTGGCCCCGCCGGCGGCGGTAATGCGCGAGAGCATCCTCGAATGTGTTTCCGGCCGCGTAGTTGGCTTGTCCAGGGTTGCCGATGATGCCCGAGGTAGACGCGAGCATGATGAAAAAGTCGAGATCCTGGGGCAGGACGTTGTGGAGGTTCCAACTTCTCTGAATCTTGGGCCTGGTGCAAGAGACCCAGTCGTCGTACGTCATGTTTTGGAAGATGGCATCCTGGGGAGGTAGAGAAAGAATGCATTAGTAGCTAGTCCGAGCCGCCACAGCGCATGGCCGAAGGAGACATATGTAAGGGATAAAAAGCTTACCTTGAGTGTCATAGCACACTGGATGGATCCCCGGATGGGAGGCATCTCGGACTGGCACTGCTCGATGGCCCGGGATAGGTGCTCACGGTCCGAGATATCGCATGCGTAGGCGTTTGCCGTGCAGCCCAGGCTTCGGAGCCCTTTCAGGAAGTCGGCTGCAATCTCGCTTTGCCCACCAGACCTCGAAATAAAGGCCAAGTTCCGTGCTCCATGCGAGTGCAGCATAGTGGCAAGGCTTCTCCCAATCCCGCCCAGCCCGCCAGCGAGCAGGTAAGTCGCGTCTGGGTTAAGGGTAAGGGGGTGTTTGGCGCGAGGGATGACGGGAACCAGCTGGTCAGGATTGGCACGCATGACCACCTTGCCGAGAACCTTACCCGACTGTAGCGCACGGAAGGCCGTTGCCACCTCGGAGTAGTTGTAGACATTGACGGGGCCAACGGGCCGGAGCCTGCCAGCGGCGACCAGCTCAAAGACTTGCTTAAATGCCTTCTCGACAATCTCAAACTCGGGCAGTTGCTCGTCGTACTTTTCGAGATTGAAGCCAATGAAGCTGGCACTCCTGATGAAGGGCTCCATGTCGAGCCCGGTATTACCCAGAATATCACGCTTGCCGATCTCAACAAAACGTCCGAAGGGGGCCACGAGATGCCATGACTGGCGGAGGAACTCGCCAGCCACCGAGTTCAAGACCAAGTCTACACCTCGGCCGTTGGTGGCTCTCCTGATGCCCTGCGCAAAGGTGGTATCGCGGGAATAAAAGATATCCTCTTCCGGAATGCCGTACCGATGCATGAGCAGTTCTTTCTTGGCTATGGAGCCCACGGTGGCGTAGACCTTGACGCCGAAGTGCTGGCAGAGTTGGATAGCGGCCTGACCAACGCCGCCAGCGGCCGAGTGAATCAGGATGGTCTCGCCCTTGCGCATTCGGGCCAGGTCGACGAGGGAGACCCATGCTGTTGAGAAGGCGATGGGAATCGTGGCAGCCTCCTGAATCGAGATGTTGTCAGGAACCCGATGGCACATGGTCCACTTCATCCGAGCATGGCTACCAAAGCCTCCGTTGCAGGAACCAACCACTAAGAGGGACACCAGTGAGTTAGCATTTTATATTTTATAACGGAACAAAGCTATATCGTTCCGAAGCAGGCATAAGGGACGATGCAGGTGGACTTACCAGTATCACCAAGCTTGATGTCAGACTCAGAAGCGACGGAAGACCCCATGTCGACGACAGTACCGACAACCTCACTGCCAAAGTATGGCCTGGGGATCTCTCCAAGAGACCCCATAATATCGAGAAAGTTCAGCCCTGTATACAGCACCTTGACCTCGACGTGGTTATGCGGGAGGGGCGCGGCACATTTCTCGCTGTCCTCAAACCGGAGAGAGTCAGGGGCTCCCACCTGGCCGATGGTCATGACCAACTTCCTGTCCGGCTGGAACAAGCTATCCATCACGGGCTGTGCGGTGGCGCCCGTGGCCGTCTGAGCCCCCGTCAGGGCAGCGTCCTCGACCAGTCTCGGCACATAAATGCTGCCCTCGTCCTCGGCAAACTCCTTGTCCGAGGCGCGGATGTCGCCGTTCCCAAACAGCGACGCAAAAAGAGACATGACGGTCGCGCCCGCCTGGGTGGATGCGAGGTCCATCCCCGTCGACAGGTCGAGCGTCGCGAGAGGGCGAGCCCCGTCCTCGGATCGGACGACGCGGAAAAGACCCGAGGACACATTGCCCGCCGGAACCGAGGCGCCAGAGACGTTGCCAGCCTGGGTCATCCAGAGCACTCCTCCGGCTTTCAGGGACATGTTCTTGGTGGCGTGGAAGAGGTCCTCGGTCAGATCCAAGAAGACAGGGCTGTCCAGCTCGATGAGAGAGACGAGAAGCTTCCCAGAAACATCGGCCACCTCGGGCCACGGAAGTGTCACGGCATCCAGGCCGGCCTCGGCGAGGCGAGCAGAGCAGTACTCGGCCAGCACGGTGACCTTCTCGGAGGGAGCTGGGGGTGTCACGAGCAGCACGTCCTTGTACTCGTAGGCTGTCTCGCGCGCGACGGAGCAAACCATGACGGACAGCTGGTGGACACGAGGGTCGTCCGAGTCCCTGAAGATCTGATCCACGCCGGTGAAGCCGTTGCTCTTGAGCCGCTGGCCCCAGCCGGCTTCATCAAGCCGTTCCCCAGACTGGCCGTCGCGCCACCAGGCGTGGGATGAGCCGAGGACGAAGGCAGTCCGCAGTTGGGACTTGGTGATGGCTTGGACGATCAACCGGCCGTCGGGCTTCAGAAGCGTCTTGATGTTCTTCAAGGCGGCATCCAGATTGGACGTCGTCAGGAGAAGGTCATCCAGGATGATGTAATCGAGCGTTCCGGGGCTGAGGCCCTGACCTTGGACGTCGGCTTCGATGTTGAGCGTCCTTATCTGCAAGCATTCGTTCGGCTTGAGATCTTTCGAGGCCGCTTCCACGGACTCCTCGTCAGGGCTCGTCCATATGTACCTGCCGAGGCGGCTGCCCTTGCCCCCGAGCAGCTCCAACACCTCGGCAGCCCCCGTGGTGTCGGAACTGCTGGCGATCTCCAAGATCTCAACATTGGGATTGATGCTGCCCACATGGTCCATGATATTGGCAATGACGGAGTTGGCAAAGGGACGACCCAGGGATCGGTTGGCAAAGTCGGCCAGAAATGCGCTGGAGAGGATGTTGCTCTTGGTCTCCAACATGGAGCCGATGCCGAGAATGCGCCCCATCTCGGCGCCCACTGCCTCGATCGCATGGCGGGTGCCTGTGCCGGGAACAGTAGTAGCTGGCTGATTCTCGACGCCCCCAAGCACTGTCGGGTCTCCCGAGACCGAACCCATCCAGGCAAGGTAGTTTTGTACCGCTTCCGGTTTCTTTTCAGCCTTCCCCTCCATGTTGTCGCTTTCGGCGCGGCCCAAGTCTTGTAGCGCTTGCTTGATGAACTCGATGGCGGTCTTGTCACTCAGCTGAGCCTCGACAACCGAACTCTCGTTAGACAGATGGCTATTCTTATGCAAGTCCACCGGAAACCTCGAGTGGCTGACGTCAAGCTTCCAGTCAAGACGAGCAAAGGCGGTCTTGGTCGGGCCAGTCTGAGGCCCGATGGCGGCGGTGACGGTCAAGTTATTCATCACGATGACGGGCTTTTCCCATGCCTCGTCCGAGAGCACCGAAGTGCCGGTGGCCCTGGCGGCGCCCTCAGGCACGAGCGTGCAGTATCCCTTGAGAACGGACCCGGCAGCCGTTGGGGCTGTCGCGGAGATGTAGAGACTGTCGATGGAGTTGGGCAGCATGACAACGTCCCACGTCTGGCTCTGCCCGACGCCAGCCAGCATCTGGAAGGCGGAATCGAGCACGGTGGGATGGAGAGGAAGCGGGTACTCGAACTCGTCGGGCATGGTCGCGGCCGTGTCCGGCGTCTCGAGCTCGCCGTACATGAAGCCGTCTCCGGACCGGACGTGGGTTAAGTTGCGGAAGGTAGCGCCGAACTGCAGCCCGTTGCGGTTCAGCCTGTCGTACATGTTGTGGACCGGGAGGGTGACGGTTGGCCTGGCCTGCATCGCCTCGTATTCGGCCCGGTGCCCGTCCCATTCGGCCACGGCTTCCATTCCCTTCTCGATTTGGCCGGGGAGGGTGACGTATTTCCTCTCGACGAGGCCCGAGCAATGCTCCGACGTCTTGTTGTTGGCATCAATCGTGCTGATGGAGAAGCGCGTCCAGGTCGTCGTGGCAGCCTTGGTGCCGATCTTGTACGGTGACAGTTGCAGGGAGATCTCGACGTGAGCATCCGGCGACTCAAAGATGATGGGCTTGTGCCACACAATGTCGCGGAACTCAAAGCCTTCCAGAGTCTTGTTAGGATCGGCAGTATCCCGGCAAGCTTCCATGGTCATGGCGATGTAGACGGCGCCCGGCATAACGAGCAGCCCGTGGACTTTGTGGTCTAGCAGCCACGGAACCTCGGAGGGACAGAGATAGTTCTTCCAGCTGGGTGAGATGGTGCTGTATTCCGACGTCTTCTGTCCCAGGAGGTCGGTCCTCGGCGTGGGGTGGCTCTGGACCCAGCGAGCCCCGCGGGACTCATTCCAATATCTGCGCTTGTGGTTAAACGGATACCGGGGCAAGGTGGTTAGAGGGCGGCCCTTCAGAGGTTCCTTGTCTGTCGAGTTGACCAGTTCCAGGTTCAGGTCGAAGCCTGACGACCACAGCCTGCCAGCAGCGGTTAGCGCCGTCAGGAGGGCGCTGGTGCCGCGCCGCAGCATCGCGGTATACGGGACGCTGGCGACGTATGTCTCGTTGGCGGCGATTAAGATTTCTCTCAGGGGGCCTTGCAAAGCGCTGTGAGGACCGAGTTCGAGCAGGGCTTGGACGTTGGCAACGCCCTTTCGTCGATCTCTTGTGTCTCGTGGCTTGAGCAGCGACGTAACGGCAGCGGAGAACCTGACAGGGCTGACCAGATTCTTGACCCAGTAGTCGGCGCTGCCCATTTCTTCCTTGCTAATCTCGGAACCCGTGACGGAGGAGAAGACACTGATATCAGATGGACCTTCGAGCGGGCGAACGTCCGCGATGTCCTTGCGGTACAAGTCTGCGATAGCCTCCATGTGAGGGGAGTGATATGCGGTCTTGACAAGGAGTCTGCGACACCAGATGTTATCGGCAGTGAGGAGCTTCTCACCCGCAGACACGGCATGGTCGTCTCCAGAGATGGTCACGCTGTTGGGACTGTTGATGCAAGCGATGACCACATCACCCTCCTCCACCTTGGCCAAGTACTCACGGGCAGCTTCCTCGGACATTGCTGCTGCCATCATGGCTCCCTTCCGATCTGGCGAGAGGGTTTTGATCTGCGTGGACCGCACGCCTCTCCAGTAGGCGGCTTTCCACGCATCCTCCCTGGACAGGATACCAGCAGCATATGCAGCGCCAATCTCTCCGCTTGAGTGGCCAACAACGGCCTTGGGTCGGACACCCCAGTGCGCCAGCAGGTCCACGAGGGCAACCTGCAAGGCCGTGCACAGAGCTTGGGATAGCTCGGGGTCGTTGATGCGGCTGGTCGTGGCGTCGCGGTTTAACTCCTCGGTGACAGACCAGGGGCAGCCCAAAGAGGTGATGTAAGCCTCGGCTTCATCGATACTCGCTCGGAACACCGAGTGTCGTAGGAGTTCGCGGCCCATGGCAAACCACTGCGCTCCCTGCCCGGTAAAGACGAAGGCGCAGGAGGGATTCCTGCCGACCCGGCCGTGGGTGGGCAGGCCCGACTTCAACGAGGTCTGGAGTCCCGTGAGGGTGTCGGAAATGGCAAAACCTCTCCAGTCAAACACGGTTCGACGAGACGCCAGCGTGTATGCGAGGTTGTCCACCTGCTTGATCTCCTCAAGCGTGGCTGCCCCCTTCAAGTCACGAGAGAGCGCGTCTTGGTCCAGGTATTGAGAGTAGGCCTCTGCAAGACGAGCCAGGCCATCTTGCTCGGGTGAGCTGAAGGCAAACAGCCTGAACTCTGGTGTACATGACTCTGTCTCCGGGATGGTATGGGCCAGGGAGATGGCTGAATCAGAGCTTTGCGAGCTCGGCGTACCGGGTTGGTTTGCTGACGCCACAACAGTGTCGTGATTGCCAGTCAAACCTCTCTCTGAATTGTTATTGTCAGCCTCTAGAGTACTCCCTCTTAACGAACCGAGTGATGCTGCCAAGTTGCGCACCCACCTTGAAGGTAATTCAACGCGTCGTCCAGGATGACGTGTCCGTTTGTGCCGCCATAACCAAACGAGTTGATGCTGGCACGCCGGAGCCCGCTGGCACTCGCAGGCCATGGGGTCAGCTCGGTGGGGATTCTGATGTTCCATTCGTCCTGCTTGATCCGAGGGTTGAGCTCCTTGAACTCGGCGACGGCAGGGATCTCGGCCCTTTCTAGAGCCAGGACGGTCTTGATGACACCGGCAATACCGGACGAGCCTTCAAGATGGCCGATATTGCTCTTGACAGACCCGACAAGAACTGGCTCGTCGCCCTCGCCACGGGCTGCGCCGATGGTCTGACCAATGGCCAGCAACTCCAAGGGGTCGCCGACAGGGGTACCGGTGCCGTGTGCCTCAAAATATGTCGTCTGGCTCATGTCAAGGCCGGCTTTGGCATACGTCGAGCGGATGAGGCTCATCTGCGCGTGGGCATTCGGGACCGTAATGGCGGGCGTCTTGCCATCTTGGTTGATTCCGCTGCCCTGTATCCGGTCAAGTGTTTTTCCTGTTGTCAGACCCTGGTTCCCTGTACGCATAAATGTGGTATGACAGGGGTGGAAGAGAAATAGGAACCAGATCGGTACATGTAGGTAAGACAGTTAGATGGGTAGTTACTCACTCGGATGACGGCCCGAATCACGTCGTTGTCGCGGATCGCGTCCGCCAGGGGCTTGACGATGACGACCCCCATGCCCTCGCCACGGCCATACCCGTTGGCTTGGCTGTCAAAGCTGTGACATGCCCCGTCGGGGCTCAAGAACCTCTGACTGGAAAGAGCGCGCCAGATATCCGGCACCAAGATGAGATTGGATCCTGCAACGACTGCCTAGAGGTAGGTATATCTGGATTAGCTCTGGCAACATACTAAAATCCCACCCGAACTTCAGTCCCAGCCCCCATGTATGTACCTACCATGGAAGTTGTCCCGTCCTGTATGTCACGGCAGGCTTCATGCAGCGCCACCATGCTGGACGAGCAAGCTGTGTCGATGGAGAATGACGGACCTCGTAGGTCATAAAACCAAGACAGTCGATTCGACAGCATGGAGTTTCCGCATCCAGTGCTCTGGTACATTGACTGTCTGTTGATATCGGCGCCGCTGACATTGAGGTAGTCGCTGCTGAAACCACCGACGTAGCATCCCACATCGGCGCCGGCAACGTTTGTGATGGGAATGCCAGCTGTTAGGTAGGAGTCAGCTTCAGTGCGCAGAAACCCATGGCGTGGGTACATGTGGATGCCAGGGGCCAGGGCAGGTGCCAACCGTTTTCAAAAGCCTCGTAGCTAATTTCCAACAGCAGGCGGTGCTGAGGGTCCATTCCTTCAGCTTCGGAAGCGGTGATGCCAAAGAATGGGGCGTCAAAAAGTCCGACGTCCTCCTTTAGGAAACATCCTTCCTTCGCGATGACCTGTCACGGGGTACATGTAAGTTAGGATGGACTTTCAAGGCTCCAGATTGTCCAAAGCATAAATACGTACCGCGCCGGGGCGATCTGCGTTTGGATGGTACACGCCATCTGGATTGAACCTCGTGTTTGGAATTCTTGTCCTCGTAGACCTCGCGTGGCTCAATATGTCCCAGAAGCCTTCGGTGCTGTTGGCGTCTCCGGGAAATCGGAAGCTCATGCCAACAATGGCGATGGGCTTTTGCTTGTCGTTCTCCATTCTCAACGATCTATGTCAAGAGAGTAACTCCGGGTTGTTGATACAAGAGAGAGGGTCAGAGAGAGTGCGTGAGGTTCTGAGTCCGGCACATGTAACTGCCACAGGACATTGGTTTTTCACCAACTGACACAAGGAGGGGTGATCACGACAAGTCGGGGGAAGCAGAAGGCTCTGTCTTTCCCTCCGTCTTATCAAACAGGGCCTCACGGAACTTTGTAGCGGTCCTTGCGAATCTGCCGGCAAGGACTTCCGAGAGTACTGGCGCCTTGATATTGACCGTGGACAGGCCACAGCACCCAAGCCTTGTGATGATACAAGCCGCACGCGTCCAATTCAGGTAGGTGCCATAGTTTGCTTCCTCCGGGCCGCCCCCAGGCACCCTCCATGACAGGGGTAGGTAGTTTAGCTCCCGGGCCGTGGCAGGCCACGGCCAGTTTCTTCCCACCCAGGGGCAAACTCGCCGACTCCTTTCGGTGTGCGAGAAGATGCGCCACGGGCTTGCCGATAGGCTGAAATCAACCTACAAGGTGTGGCCGGGAACGAGTTGGTCAGCAGCTCAGTCAATCTCAACCGTTAGTTCGGTCGTTCCATGTCCACTCAGAAGAATTCAAGAAAGTCAAAAAACCTGCGGGGACCAGGAACTGGACAAGCATGCACCAACTGAACTGCCCTGTCATTGATATTGCAAATAGTGTACGTTGTGAAGCTGACACTAGTTGTGAAGCCGGGAGAGCTTGTATTATTACTAGAAGATGGAATTACAAAAATGCTAGTTGCGTGTTGTGTATCTCGCCAGTGTGATGCCGGCCAATCTCTCCGCTTCCAGTCCAGTCCCGTACGGACATGGATATACCGTACAGTGTCCGTACCTCAACAACTCTCAGTCTCTCACAGATTCCCCTCCTCGTTGTTGGCTGCAGTCCTGGCATAGATGGCTTCCAAGTCATCCAGCCGTTTCTTGATTGAGGGTGGCCTGCTCTGGTAGACGCAGAGCGATGCAATGAGGCATGCCGCCGACATAGCAATGCACATGTACATGTCAGCCTGGAAGGCCTCGATGTAAGTGGTCCGAACTTGGAGCTGCTTGTACGCAGCGAAGGATCGCATTACGGTGGGCGACCTGTAAAAGGCTTCCAGCTCCTCCGCACTGAGCACCCCGGTCAGCGTCTGGGCAATTCTGCTATTCAGCACAAGAAAGCTCGCCGCTACTCCCAGGCTGCCGCCCAGGACACGCATCTGGGCGACCAGACCTTGGGCGATGGCTGTCAGTGCTCACCAGTCAGCGCCTTTTCATCCATGTCTCAGTGCCAACATGAAACTGCAGCATTGGGAATGACACAGGGAGGTACACTTTACCATAGTCTTGGAAATCCGCATTCAGCGAGGGGATCAATGTTGCCGTGGACAGATTCAGGCCAATGCCAAACCCGAGAATAGCCTCGAACCCCCATTGTTTCGCCGCCACGTCGACCGTGTCTGGGAGAGTCGACATGATGCCGCAGCCAAGAAGCATAAATGCGCTTGCGGCGTTCAGGCTCCAGAACGTGCGGTTCTGTTTGGATGAAAAGGCACCGCCCAGAGCAGAGCCCACTGCCGTAGCGCCCATCAAGGGGAGGAGCAGGACTCCCGACCTGACTTCATTGTAGAAGTTTACGATCTGTGCGCGCATGGGTATGTTGACAATGACGAGGTACATGACGAAACCGGTCAGAATCGTGCTCCTGTTGGAACCCAGGGGCCGGGGTCCTGTATGTTAGCTTGGATCCAAGGACCCACGTCTGGTTCTTTCTCCTGAGTTTGAGTGCCTGGGTTGAACTTACACGATACTTGACATCAAGACCCTATCTGAAAGAATTCTCCAGGGAATCTGAGCACGGATGTGCCCGAGGCTGGGCCTCCTTGAGAGGTACCATTGCCACCACGCCAAAGTCAACCAGGCTGCTCCGCTCAGGATCAAGACGGCGATTGTCTGGGGACTGCTCCACTCGTACTCCCTCACGGTGGTTTGGTTGATGATAAACACAAGGAGCACCGTCGCCATCAAGAGCAGCAGCGCGCCCAAGAAGTCGAGGTGCCTAAAAGGAACCGTTTTGAATGTGCGGAAGGTCTTGGGCCATACAAAGAACAGGGCGAGCCCTGGAACCACTCCGATGGGGCCGCTAGGAGCAAAATTTGGGAATCAGTCGCAATCTTTGAGTCGTGTGGGATCCCGGGATACAAGGGGCAAAAAACGCACTTCATCCAAAAGGCCCATCGCCAGTCGGAGTAGGTCGCGAGAAGACCGCCAATGACGGGGCCACTGACGCCGGCCAGGGCCACGATAATGCCCAGAAGCGCGGAGAGCAAGGGGACCAGCTCAGGGGGGCTGATCTCGGGGTAGATAATCATGGTCATGGCGTACAGGCCGGCGCCGCCAGCACCTTGGGCAGCTCGGAAGCCGATCAGTTGATCAAGCGTCGATGCCGCCCCACAGGCCACGGACGCCAGGACAAAGATGAAAAAACACCCGAGCAAGACCGGCTTCCTTCCAAGAACATCAGATAAACGGGCAATGAGGACGGTGCATCCTTGAATAGGGAGGAGAGGCAGTGTCAGTCCAGTCGTTGGTCATGTTGCTGTTGAAACAGCCAGCACAGATTGGGTTCATGTTTCCAGGCTCACCGAGGTATGAGAGGGTATACGACAGCAAAACCCATGGCGCCAGTTTGAAGCCACCAAACTCATCCGAGATGCTGGCAAGCATCGTGGCCACGATGGTGGTGTCCATGAGCGATAGGAACAAACCGACACCGATGCTTAATTCACATAACAAAGTCAGCGTTTTGCCTGGCGTTTCCCCTGGACTGAGGAACCTCGAACTTCCGCGTGGGGGGGGAGGGGGCGCATACCTGACGAGGATTATGACCAGCCGCCATCTTGCAATCGGTTCCCGTTTCAGGACCAATTCGTCGCTTGCTTGTCTTTCCAGGGGAGGCGGCGACGCCTCGGGGAGTGCCGCATCTTTCGAGGCCCGGGGAGCAATCGTCGACTCGGCTGTGTCGTCGATTTTGCTCATCTTGGTCAAGTCTTCCAGAGGGCTGCCGGCTCTGTGTGCGTGTGCGCCGGGCAGTTTCAACTTTCAAATTTCCCATACATGTAGGTACTGCAAGATGTGGGCAGAATGCGGCGCTCTTGATGCAGGGAGCCGGTAAGGGGAAAGGGGGGAAGGGGGACAAAGCCGTGTTGGTGTTGGTTAAATCCCACACGGCCCGACGCGCACTTTGGGAGACTTGGGCCGCGCTCAACCGGCCCCCATACCTGACAGGGGGACAGGGGGGTCCTGTCGCCCCGGCCTGTTTTGTGCACCTCATCGACTGATGCTAGCAGGAAAAGGAACCGGCCGAGCCAATCGGTCCATACCGTATGGTACGTGTACCTTGTGCTGGTGATCTTGGATGCCTGCCGTCAGGTACGTACGTACGTACTTGGTGTAGGTATTAACAACCCACCAGAGCCATCGTTGCCCTGTCTTCCTTTGCAAGCATTACCTAACGCTACGGTGGGAAATCTCTAGAGGCTTCAAGGTAACTTGTCGCTGCAAACATGAAGATACTTTGCCTTCATCCTTGGTAAGAAGAAATCCCTATGTCTAGAGGGATATGGGACATTTTCTCTAACAGCACGTCTGCTCATTCTGCAGGGGCACCTCGGGTTTTATCTTTGAGAAGCAACTCCAAACCTTGAGCGGCATTCTCGGACCGACGCACGAATATGTGTACATTAACGGCGGCGTCCCAAGCGCGCGGGCACGAGGTAAGACGCCACTGCACGTTGGGAATCCGTAGCATTGCTGACGAGAAGCACTCTTTAGATCTCCCCGATTTCGTCAAGGGCCCTTACTATTGCTGGTATGAGGGCTTGTCGTCGCCCCAGTGTCAGGAGGCACACGACACCATAACCGAAACGATCAAGGAGGAGGGGCCTTTCGACGGCGTCATCGGCTTCAGCCAGGGAGCCTCCCTGGCGTTATCCTTCATGTTGCACCACGAGCTGCACAACCCGGGTTTACCATGCCCCTTCCGTTTTGCGCTGTTGTTCTGCGCGAACCTGGTCATATCCCCAGACCCGAAGTTCAACCAAGACAAGGTGGTCAAGTACAGTGGATACTACAAGGCATCTCGCGACGGAGTAAGGCCGGCCGGTGAAGTTGGCGAAGAGCACAACGACGAGGACAACGACGAGGACAACGACGACCAATACAAGACAGAAACCGGGGAGGGAAACGGCACGCACCAGACGGTTCAGACCACACCAGCGACGCCAGCGACACCACTGGCACCAGATGCCAGCAGCAGCAAGCGCAGGGCGGCGCCGAAGCACCGCGCGCTCCTTTTGCTTCCGGGGAGGAAGAAGGCTCTCGTGGAGGAGCTAGTTGATCTGATCGACGAGGCGTCGCACAACCTGTCGGGGGAGGCGGACGCGTCGAAGCACTCGTGGCCGGAAGACCCCAAGCCCGAGGACTTCCCACGCCTGATGCACCCACTGACGGTCAAGGCGCGGGTGCCCATCCCGACGGTCCACGTCATTGCGCAAAACGACCCACTCATGCGGCACACGGAGCTGGCGGTGCGGTTGTGCGACAAGAAGAAGACGAAGCTGGTCTACTTTGACGGCCCGCACCGGATCCCAACGGCGCCGTCAACCTTGAACGCCATTGCAAGGGCGGTTGAATGGGCTATGCAAAAGGGGCAGCTGATGTGAAAGTCCAAGTCTTGTCCAGTCTCTGCAATATGGTCTGGTGCCACGGTGGTTGGGGGGTTTCAATTTTCCAACAAATTCCAACTCAGTTCATTCACGGTGTGCCCCAAGAGACTGGAATCACTGGATTGGGAAGTGTTTTTTGAAGTCGGGCACTTTGAATAAGTCCTCCTTGCTTCGGGCAGTTTATGTCCAATAGGGTATTCACTTTTCGCCCAGCCGCGAAAAGTGGCCGAAGAAGGATTGAAAGCCGTTGGGATTCAACAAATGACGGGCAGCTCATGGTGACTAAAATAGAGCCAGATTCCATCCTGCCAAGCAAGCCAAGACTGCAAGAATAAGAGATGGGATCGAATATCCCTGGTAGCGAGATCAATGGCACTCAATAATACTACCTACTTACATGTGGCAGCTTAGGGAGTCACAGGAGTGTACACTACTTCGGACCGTCACAACCGCTTCTTGTCCAATGATGTAGGGGGCTTGTACGAGTTAAACGCAAAACGATTTGATCCGGATGTAGTTAGTGTGTTAAGGCCCTATAGGCCCAGTGCCTCCGGGCGAAATAAATTCCATCCATCCATCCATCTTGTCCAATGATTGTTGTTGGCCGTCATCGACTACTTGGAATCACCCCCGGAGTTAAGCACCAGCCCTCTATGCCGCTGTATCCGGGGCTCACAGCTGGGATACCTACCAACCTAGGTAACATCGCTAAATGGTGACCGCACTAGTACGCTGTGTCCTACATAGCACAGGGGATCCAGATTCCGGAATCCGGGGTCGCATTTCTATTTTCTCCCATCCAGATACGGGCGACTTGCCTACCTAGGTATTCTGAAGGTAAAACTGAGCTCAGCCTTGTGGCCCTTGTCAAGTTATTGCTTACTTTGTAGACTCTTACGGACGCCCCAATCAATATCTGGAAGCATCCCAACGCAGTAATTCAACGTGTTGACGCCGGGCCAGAAGGCCACGTGCCTCGCAGGGGCGAGATCCAACGACATGATGCAGGCACTTCTAATGTAGTCAACACTTGTCACTTGTACCGCTCCTTCAGGACCCCTGACTCCCTGAGTCGTGTGGGCGTGGCCCATGTATGTTCCTTTTGCTGGGCATCGGAGTCCGCGCTCAATAAGGTAGTTAAATCGTAACTGTTAAACTGACGGCTCTCCAAACAATGATTTTGGCCCCCATTCACGTTCAATGAACCCTGACCCTCCTGCAGTCGGCGCTGAATTCGGTCACCGGCCCATAATCCAACAGACAGGCAACGGTATAATCTCGGGGTGGCTTAACAACGTGGAACATGTTACATCTAACATGATGGGTTCTTTGGTGGGAAATAACCCACTTAATCAGTAGAAAGCGGCACGGCCCCCAGCCCTTATTGGAGCCCGGTGCCGTCGTCTGAACCTCTGAAGGGGGGGTGGGAGGGCGGGTCCAAGGAGACATTACATTTACATGTATCACGACATAACCTTGATTTAGGTACCACTCTTGCCAACCCGAAACAATTCAAACGAATGGCAGATTCCGACCTGCGAGACTGGCCGCCCGGCCCGTCCGACTTCCGACTCGCCTGTGAGGAGTGTCACAAACGCAAAATCCGCTGCGAGGCCCCTCAAGATGGACCCGGGCCGCAGGGCGCCTGCCAGGCATGCCGGGTGAGCCACCGGACGTGCCTCTTCTCGCTGAAAAACAAAACTGGTCGGCCGCGGAAGGCCAAGCCGACTCACCTCCATCAGGCCCCCAAGACGCTCTCCCCGCAAACCCTCCAGCCACACCTACCTGGGACCGGAGTTTCAGCATCTGCATGTACGATCACGAGTCCGAATCCTCGCGGGCCGAGACGCGATTGGGCTTCAAGAACAAGACAGCATGTTACTGGCCATCGTCGGCCATCGGCAGCCGGGCATTACGAAACACCAAATATCCACCCCCACCATGCTGGCTCGGCATCATCCAAGGAAGCGCCTCTCGGGCAACTACCATGGCTCACGGCATGTGGCAATGGGGCGACGGGGCGGAACGACTTTGACCCTCTCCTGGACAGCCCTTGTGGCGGCGAAATCCAGGTTTCCATGAGCCCTGGATTTGTCCAGCTTGAGGATGATTTCGTCTTGGAGATGCCAGAGGTTATGACGCCGGAGCACCTGCATCTCCATGTCCCAGACTCTTCCTGCAACGAACGCCCTGGGTCGGAGTTGGGGCGGCTAGAACGACTACACAATATTGGCCCCGGGACGACAACACCATCGACGGGAGAATCGAGTGGTGGGGGAGACTACGGAGACTTTTGGCGAACTGGCCCGGCTCCAAACAGTGCCGGGGCCCTCGGGGACCACGGAGACTCGATGATGAGTGGAGACTTCTTTGACACGATGAGGCTCTGCAACGAGATGAACAACGTGTTCCAGAGCAGAGCACTGGACGTCACGACCCGGGCAGACCAGCGGGAGCTGTCCGTCGTCCTCGCCCACATTGAAGAGCTGGGCTACAAGACAACGGCGGTGATGCGAGACGCCGCCAACCTGTCCGGGCTACCCAGCCGACAGGAGCGGTACAAACGGATGTTGATGCGCGCCACCGTCCTGGGTGCTGTTGACACCGCTGCCGACCTGGTCAAGCACAACTTGTCCATCCATAACATTCAATACTCGACGGTGTGTGGGGGGGCCGAGAACGACGGCAGTCCTGACTCTTCGACGCCGGATCTCCCTCGGGAAAGTCGGGACGGTAAAGACCATGACGGGGTGGGCGGTACTTGCATCAATTCGTCGGCCGAGTCTCTCGAAACGGTGCTGTCGCTGGTTCGGCTCGACTACGCCCTGCTCCAGTTCTCCCGCTTCCTTTCTGCAAATCAGTGCGAGGGGGGCGATGGATGCCACGATCCGTCCGGGATGGCTCCAGGGGTGGGACATGATTGCCCCATGGGTGGGGGAACATCGATGTTGGCGAAGACGGCGCATACGCGCGCCCAGCTCTGGGCGTTAGCCAAAGGAATTCGAAAACTATGGTGACCCCTGCTTGATAGATCCAAACTCTCTATGTCCATACATGTAGTGTAACTTCGACTAGCCACCGGACGGTTCATGCCACGTGGAGGATTCGAGATGGGGAAGAATGCAACGTCACACAAAGTTCAACTCCGGGGTCAGCGTGTTGGTTCCTTGTGTTTCTGCAAAGTGACTGAAAGCCTTCATTGCTGCCTCAACGATGGTGTTGGGGGCCGTCTCCTCAGCGAGTCGGTTGCTCTGCTCAGGGGTAAAAAGATGGTAAGACGCAGCATTGCGGCATGAATTGACATAGCAGAAGCCCCCGTCGAGGGGCAAAAAGTTCTAGAGCTGCCGAAAAGCACGGTACGTAGCATTGTACCCAAGCACCGAATGTATTCCTGATCCTTCAATGAACTTGCAGCCTGGCCCTTTACGACCTTCCTGATCAAAACCAATGGTCGGAGGGGTCTCCACAGTCCAGGTTGCAACACCTGCCAGGTACTTCGTAAAGCCTCGTAAATATCGGCATACCTTCCTAAAAGATGTAGCTATTGGTTGGGGGTTGGTGCAGCTTGCAGCCAACCGGCCACGTTGCGGAGCAGCCCGGCAGGCGGACAGCCGGCCCGGGACACCATGACCAGCTCCGCAACCCTTCCTACGTAGGATCATGGCCCCCAACACCCGACCCAGTTTGGAGACAACCCGGAAACGAATCCTGCATATGCCAGATGGAGATGTGTGCCCTGCGAGGTGTGATTAATGCCAACGTACGATGTATACGGCCATGTGCTGACTACGGTGCATGTATCACACCACTAGTGTCCTGACCGGAAAGTTAGTTGACATGTGCCGACCTCAGTAGTCCGCAGAGAAGTGGCCGAAGCCGGTGGCACTGCTACGTCGGCGGCGCTGCCTCGATTCCAATTCCAACGGACTCTTGGCGGACAGTTGATGCCGGTGGCACAATCACATTGATGCCAGAGTGCCAGAAGGACCAGAATCAAGGAACACAGAAACGTATCGCCCATCGCAGAAGGCACCCCCTCTCGAATCTTCCCACCACCTTGACAACGTGTCCCCCTTTGCCGCTAGAGCACAGCTAGAAACACAACGTCCTGCCAAACCACAGAATGGGCTCATCGTACACCCCGCAGGGAACGACCACCCGGTTGACCCCCGCCGACGAGGCCGCGTCCTCGAAGGCGGCCTACACAAACATGGAGCAGCAGGCATTCCACGAATGGCCCAATGAAGCTGGTGTACGCCTTTCTCACCCCTCGGCCCGCGGTGCCATCACTTCACGGCCTTCACGTTGGGTGCCCAACTGACCGTGGATCATCATTTACCGTCTAGTTTGACGGCCTGACCGAACACCGTGGCCCCATTGAGCTCAAGGTCCACGGCAATATCCCGGCATGGGCGGCAGGCTCTCTCTACCGCACCGGTCCCGGCCAGTGCAAGGTCGAGGACACCAAGTCGGGCACGTTTTACACCTCGCACTGGTTCGATGGGCTTGCCCACACCCACCGTTTCGACATCGTGGCTGAAGACGGCAGCGCTGGTGCCGCAGACGAGCCGACGGTGCGCGTGTATTACTCGTCTCGCCGTCAGTCCGAAAAGGTCACGGCCGACATCAAGGCCGCGGGCACGTTACGGTCCATATCGTTTGCACAACGGACCGATCCTTGTGTCGGCCTGTTCAGCAAGTTCATGAGCGTCTTCGACCGGCGGCCGACGCTATACAACATTGGCGTGACCGTGAACGTGGACCTGCCCCTGTTCAAGCGTCCGACCCAGCCCGCTGTCGACGTCCAAGGCCACCGAGCTGCCAGCATCGTCATCGGAACAGACGCAGGCGTCCTGTGCGAAATGAACCCCAAGACCATGGAACCCGTCGACTTCCCGAAGCACTCCAAGTTCCACCCGGACCTCAAGGGGCCGCTCGGGGGCGCCCACGGGAAGCTTGACCCCGAAACGGGCGACTATATCAACTACAATCTAGAGGTTGGCAAGCAGCCCGCATACCGTATCTTTCAAGTCAGCGCCGCCACAGGAAAGACCGACATCCTAGCGACCATCTCGTACAAGGCGGCCTTCATTCACAGCTTCTTCTTGACGCGTAACTACGTCGTCCTGTGCGTGCCTGTAGCGCACTACCAGTGGAAAGGGGGAAGGATTGTCTGGGAGGGCAACCTACACGATTCGCTCAAGCCCTTCGACCCGGCCGAGACGTGCCGGTGGTTCGTCGTCGACCGGCACCACGGCAAGGGCGTCGTAGCCGAGTTCGCGTCGCCGGCCGGCTTCTTCTTCCACACCGTCAATGCCTTCGAGGACGACGATGGGGATATCTTTTGCGAAGTATCCGACTACCCGAACCGATACATTGTCGACGGCTACTACTACGACGTGATCCTCGACCGCAACGGCAAAGCCACCGAGTTTTGGACCGACGGCCAAATGGCGCACAAGTCGTTCCCGCGCCTCGTACGGTACCGCCTTCGCAAGAAAGATTTCACCACGGCCAGCGGCAGCGGCAGCAGCGGCGGGAACGCCACCAACCTACCCACGCCCGAGACGGTTCTGGAAATACCGTCGCCGCACGCCGGCGACATGCCCGTCATCAACCCGCACTACCGCTGTCGGAAGCACCGGTACGGCTACTTCCTCGTCAGCCGCGTGTACAGCACGCTCTTCGACGCCATCGCCAAGATCGACACCGAGACGCGCGAGCTGCTCCAGTGGGAGGGGCCGCGCGGCCACACGCCCGGCGAGGCCATCTTCGTCCCGCGCCCGACCAGTACGACGACAGCCGCCGGTATGGACGGGGCGGCGGTGGGGGTGCCGGACGAGGACGACGGGGTCCTGCTCAGCGTCGTGCTCGACGGCGTCAACAGGACGAGCTACCTGCTGTGTCTGGACTCCAGGACCATGACGGAGCTGGGGCGCGCCGAGTGTGAGTTTGCTGTGGCCCTTGGGCTTCACGGTCGCCATGTTGCGGCGTCATGATAATGGGAACTGGACCCTCTTGGGGAAGCCTCTTGGGGAAGGGGACGGGCAGTTAGAGAGTAATAAACGCGGTGTTGCCGTTTTTTGTTGACGAATGTTGAATGTGATGACAACACTCTGCCACTCCTTCGTATTTCTGCAAGTCGTGCAAGCGTGTTACGCATAGTTACGAGTAATGCAGCCAGTGACGAGTCGAAATTTAATATGGAAGGTACGGGTACTTAGATGTCAATACCTAAATTGAACGGGCAAGCACCTCCCCATTTGGTATTAAGTCAAACCCTGGCTAACAACATGCAAGATTTGATCTCTCGAATCTCGTGTCGATACGAAGTATCACATCCCCACAATTTCTTCACAACAAAAGACGGACATTTGATCTCCCAGAGCAAAATCTGTGGTATTTTCGGGACCAGACACCATCGGTCCAAGAACTAGGCTAGGTACATAGGTACTTATCTGGGTCAAATGGCAAACACACAAGTCGCTCGCCCCGGCCCATTTCCCATCTCCCATCCCCTTTACGGCCACTTAACGCCGTAGAGCGCGCAGGTGTCAGTCTTCCACTGAATCATGGCAAGCCTAAGAGTTCATAGTGGTTAGTCACCGTTACCAACCCAACCGTCGTCGGGGGAAGGGGGGGGGACCACGTACACGTCGTTAAAGTCAGTGCAGGCATTGACGATGCAAGTGGCAATCGCGGTGTTGTACTCTTCCCCGCTGTAATTCAAAGTGAAATTCAGATTGTGGTTAGTCGACGACTGAATACCAAATGCATGAAAGCACAATCGCAATCAGGGGGGGGGGCTTAGGGTTCTTGTACATACGTGAGGCAAAGGCAGGGAAAGTCGAGAACTGGGTAGCTCTGGCAACCACTGAGAGGGTTTGTGTCCATGATGCAGTTGATCTTGATTCGTTTCAATCACCCGGCTCCAGTCAGCTCCATGTCCGAAACGGTTCCTCATGATTCAAGTTTGTTGGCAACAAAACACTCACCGCACAAGCAGGGATCTTGCTGACGTCTTGTGCCGCAACAAGTCCGGCCATGGCGGCCACGAGAAGGGTCTTGGTCTGCATGATTGGAGTAGGTGTTGGATTGCTTGTTGACTGATCCTGAGAGTGTTAGACTTCGGTGCTGAACTTGGATGCTTGAATCTATATTTCTAGGAGGGTGTTTATATTACATATAATAAAACCACGAAGCGCGGTTTCAATCCTTTTCTGGTAGCTATGTTGCTTACGGATTGGTGTAGGCGTCCTAGAACTGGCCGAGCGAGACGGGGAAACACGCCGAAGGACGGCCTGTTCTCCGCCGCCGCCCGGGGCCCACGGTGCTCGGCGACTTACGGGAGAGCCGCCGCAATTGCTGGGCAAGACATGCATGTCTATCCCTGAAGCTGTAAACGCCAGTTGCAACTATACATAATAAACCGAAACTGGTAAGTCTCAAGCCTAGTGGATAGGTCTAGTCTAAATACGTCCGAGGTAACTATATCGAGGGGGACTTTACTTACCTAATACCTAGGGATACCTCACTTCGCTAAGTCACGGTTCTTGGAATTAAATCATGAAATAAAGATAAATAAGAAATAAATCTCCTGAGCAGCTAGCTGCCGGGGGGGTGGGGGGTAAGGGCTTAGTGTTACTTGTTACCGAAGACCCGATCTCGATAACGTTACTGTTACCTTAGATAACCTTACTACTAAAGTATAGCCTGGGGATCTCTTTAAGAGACCTATCATATCGAGAAAGTTTAGCCTAGTATACAGTACCTTAGCCTCGATGAAACTGAAACTGGAGAGTGTTGGCGGTTCCTACTATATGTAGGTAGTTGGCCGATAGTTATTAACAACTTCCTATCTACCTAGGTACCTAGATAAAACACCCCATCGGTTACCGGCTATACGGTAATACCTGTAGCTGCTTGACCGTTGCGAGGGTAGCGTCCTCAACCAGTCTCGGTATATAAATGCTACCCTCGTCCTCGGTATACGTAAACTGCTTGTCCGAGGCGCGGATATCGCCATATCCAAACAGCAACGTTAAAAGAGAGATGATCACCGGGCTTACCTGGTTGGGAGCACATACTGGAGGCGAGGGCCGCAGCTGGGGTTTGGCGGATGCGGAGGATTGAGCACGGATGGAACGAATGGTGTTCGCACATGTCTGGTATTGTCGTATTAATCACAGTCAGGTTGTCGTTCATTAGACTCCATTTTAGCCACACTACCTCTTTGATAGGGTAGTGTACTTAAATCGCCGCCCAACCATTAACATGAAAAAGAGTGTTGATAGTCCTATACGTGTAAGGTGCCCTTGACTCTTTGAGGTACATGCAGGCAAGGTGGTACCATTGTTATATCCATATGGTCCCCCAAATCCGCCCTCACCCCCAGACCAATACAGCAGTGTAGCACTTGTTCCGAAACACTGGTATCGAATATTTAGAGGCTGACTTTACTGATAGGGATGAGCTACGCACCTTAGATGTCCCCCCAACTTCCACTACCTTGAACCGTGGTCTTCTCGGAAACGGGGCTGTCGAGAGCACCCTCGATTTTAAGATAGCTGTCCTCAAAAGCAATCTCAAACCTATCGGGCCCAATGTAGTCAGAGAAGGGATGCTCGCCTGCGAGAGAGTCGTGGTCGTGGAAACTAAGCTTTATGCTGGTCGGGGCGAGATCCGGGACGGGCGGAGAGAAGCCTGCGGTGAATATTTGCTGTTTCTGGGAGATTTCAAACACCGCTATAAACTTGTTATCGTCTTCGGCTGTGAGGAGATTTCCGTCGTAGTGATGCATTTTTTCTGTAGACTGAGAGTACCTATATAAAGGTAATGTGGAAGGCCATGACGAGATTAAGACTTGAAGCTTGTGAAGGTGTTATCGTTAAGTTTGAGCAAGGTCCCAGGTCTTTGACCATGCTTTTTATCTCTTAAGAGCGCCCTTGTCAGACCCTGTCGGTCCATGATAATTACCTCCACTGAGCCACTTAATGGCGGTACGGGCGGCTAGGCTAATTCTTTCTCGCCGCCCGCAGGCTACGGCCGCCCCTCACCCCCCTTCCCCTCCCCCCACCTGCTCCCCCCTCTCCCGTCCGGGCTCCATACCGGGGATCGGCATACCACCTGAGACCCTGAGCAGCCAACGAATCTTGGCCACGGCTGGACGATCAACAGCCACCCCCTCCAGCGGCATATAATCGGATCTTCCAAAAGAAATACAACAGCTAACTCCGGAACAAGTGTCTAACGTCTTTAAACAGACTAGGCGTCTCCTAGAGCTAGGAAACCCATCCCCACTAGCGAAGAGGAACCTACCATTTTCCGATATGTGGTTCCAGTCACCAACGAGGGTGCCGGCTCACGGTACGTAGTTGGCCAACCCGGATTTGTCTCCCAGCGACAAATCCCGGAGGCTCGGCGACCTTGTTCCTGAAGCGCTACTTTCGTGGTTTCTCATATACGCCAGCAACGGCAAGCATATAGAAGCTCCTGGCAAAGGGGACTCAGTACCAGAGCGGCGATTTACACTACAGTACTCACCTACCGAATAGAGAGTGTAGCTGAAAACGAACATCAATATATCTAGGCTACCCAACCATAAGGGCGGGGACGGGGGGAGCCGCCACCGGGCTACGTATGTGCATGTATGGATCGGCAACTTAGCGCGGGCAGGTAGCGAGCATCGCATGCATAGGCGTACATGTAGGTATGCATGATGCGACTCGCGAGAAGGGGCAATCACAATTCGCATTCACCTCACGACTCACGTGCCTTGATTTGATAATCCATCACCGAATGGGTCTTGGAAAGCTGCTGCCACCTGCTGGTGGTTGTGCTTTTCTGGGCGCGCGACTCGGGCCTTTGGCGCTTATGTCGTCCATCTTGGTTCGTTTCAAACACCCTGCTCAATGCCATATCCGAAACGGTTCCTCATGATTCATTCAAGTTTGTTGACCACAAGACACTCACAACACAAGTACGGCCATGGTAGCCATGGAAAAGGTTGTTCTCTACATGTTGAACGGGATGCAGGTTGAAGTAGGTGTCGGATTGCCTGTCGATTAAGGTTGAGAGTGTTGGGCTGCGGTGCTTGACTTGGGTGCTTTGATTTATTTTAGGATACCTAGGTAGTGTTTATATACAACATGTGGATGTGGCTCTAAGATCCAGTTCTAGTAGCCATCCGGTATCTTGCTCATGGATTGGTGTCAGAAGACCGTCCTACAGACCTGCTAGAACCCACCGAAAGAGAAACAAGCCGAAGGACGGCCTGTTCGGCGCCGCCGCCCGGGGCTCACGGCGCTCGGCCACTTTCGGGAGGCCGCTGCCATTCCTGGGCAAGGCATACACACCTAGCTCTGAACCTGCAAAGGCCGGTTACTACAAGGGTGGAACTGGGAACTGGTCTATTAGTGAGCATCAGGCCTGGTGGAGAAGTCTAGCCCGAATGGGAGCGAGACAGCTGTATTGAAGGGGGCTTCGCTCAATAATTATTATTCATACTCCGCTATGCCCTAGGGCGTGCCGGACCCTCAGCTATTTAGTGTACAGGAAAACCGTGCCCTTCCGGGCCGGGTGAAAAGCCCATACCAACAATCAAGGAGCGATGCGTTTTAGTGAGCCTACATATACAAAGAGAGGAGGCCTCCTGGCCTCCGAACGGGGGCGCTCGGCTTCGCTCAATAAGCAGGCCTCACTTCGCCAAGTCGCGGTTTTTGGAAGAAAATGATAAAATAAAGAATGAATTTCCCGAGCAGCTGGCTGCCGGTGGGGGGGGGGGGGGAGTGTGAGGGCTTGATTGTATTTTTCCAGATTTGGCCACAACTACCTAGGTACTGTTTCCGAGAAAATTAGAACATACCATTGTATCTTCGTTTAGAACTCATTTTGCACTGAGGATCCGAGTAAAGTACCTTGGTCACAGAGCATAAATTGGTTACAGCAATTGAAGTAATCCCAGTTGTAGTGGTTAACCGTTTGGAAGCCCCTCCAGCGCACTATGACACCTATGCTACCGCCGCCATCGTAAACCACGTAACAACGCCATGGTTGATATCAGCCCAACCAAGAAAGAGAAATAATGCCACCGCCCAAATGCAATATGCCGTAAGATCCATGCCTGTTTGTCATCACACCCGCCGCTCCAAATGTAAAAAAAGGAGGGGAAAAATAAGGAACCACCCCCCCCTCAAGGCCCTCACCACCCCATCTTATCTCTCATGTCACCATCTAAGAGCACAACCCATCAAAGCGCCTCCTCCTCCCCCTCCCCACTCGGTATCCCATGATACCTCATCTCCAGGACCCAGCGCTCGCCAAAATCGACCCCCTTCCTCATCTTCGTCCCCGCCTTCTTCCACACCGCCTGGCCCAGGCCCATATCCACCAAGAACAGCTTCCACTCCAGCACGCCGTCATCCGGCACGGGGGCCTCGCCCGCCAGGACGGTATCGCCGTCGTCATCATCGGCCGCGACCAAGGCCTCGAGCAGCCCGCGTTTCGGGGCGCCGACGGCGACGACGTAGCGGGGCTTCACGTAGAGGCGGTTGCCGTCGACGACGCTGACTTTTCCCGAGGAGGGGTCGACGCCCGAGGGCACGTCGACGGCGAGGACGAAGGCCTCGTTGCGGTTGGCCCACTCGATCAGCTCGTAGACGGTGGCCTGGTCGCCGTTGCGCAGCTCGCCAAACGAGATGGCCAGCCCCAGGAGGGCGTCGATGATGAGCATGACGGGCGCCGGGTTGGCCAGGCTGCTGAGCGACGCGCGCGGCGTGTCGATGGTCAGCATGGGGATGCTGATCTTGCGGATGTGCTCGAAGAAGTCGCTCTTGGCGAACACGCGCCCGCCGAGGTTGCGGTACAGCCGGACCTGCTGCTGCACGTCCTCGAGGAGGTCGCGCTCGCCGCGCTCGAGGCCGACCACGCACACGAGAACGTTAATCCCCTTGTTACGAAGGTGCCGCGCCGCCGCGATGGCCCGGCTGCCGGACTTGTTATTCCCCGCCAACACGACGACGGTCTGTGGTGGGGGGGCGCCTGTGGCCGGGTCGACGCTGCCGGCGTGCCGTACCTTGATAGCCGGATCCGAGAGGGCGGTCAGCGTCACCTCGGCGAGGCCGCGGCCGGCGTTTTCCGTCATCATCTCCTCCGTTAGCCCGACCTCGTTGTGCGCAATGTTCTCAAGGTTGAACATCTGCAGCGCCGAGACGGTCTCGATTCGCCGGTTCGATGGTAGCACGTAAAGACTCTGCGGCGCGGGCAGGCGTCGGGAGCTGCTTCCTCTTGTCAGCGGTCGCAGTGCGCGACGAAAGCCGGCTACTCGGCCGACTCTCCTTGAGAGATTGGGTGCGGTAGTGGCTTACACCCGCGTTGACTCTGCTCGGCCCTGACCCTGTCCTCGCCATCTCTGGGCTTTGCGTGATGTGACCGCCGAACTGACGCGCCTTTGC